CAGGTAATCGGAGGCTTGGCCACGACTGCAGCAAACTACGAAAATGCGTGGGATCTTCTTCTAAACAATTATGAACATCCGAGGCTTCTAATTAACACACACTTGAATCAATTGCTTGATTTTCCAGCCGTATCAAAGGACAAACCAGCAACAATGCGTCAACTGATCGTTCACGTCAGAACGCACTTAAAGGCTTTAGAGACACTAAAGCTTCCGGTTGATAAGTGGGACGAGCTTCTCATACACCTGTTAAAGAATAGGATGGATTACAATACACAGAAGAGTTGGGAAGAAGAAACCAAAAAGGACAAGGAAAATCGACCTACGTTGGAGAACTTTCTGACTTTTCTCAATGAGCAAGTACGAACGCTTGAGATAATTGACAAGACCAAGGGAAAGTCGGAAGCATCAAAGACGCCAGCAGGGAAAAAACAAGAAAAAAAAGTAGCTTTGGCAACTACCTCTCAAGAAGGTTGTGTCCTCTGCAGCAAGAATCATCAGTTGTACCGATGCCCGGATTTTCTGCAGCTATCGAGTGCTGACAGATTAAAGGAGGTGAAAGCGAAGAAACTGTGTATGAACTGCTTAAGCAAAGGACACTTTTCCGCGGCTTGCAAATCTTCAGCATGCCGGAGGTGCCAGAAGAAGCACAATACCCTGTTGCATCCAGAGCAAGAAGAGAAGACTGCAACCGATAAGAAGTCAGAAGAGGACGCGTCCAAGAAGGCAGTGGTAATGCACGGCACTCAAGAAACCTTGCAAGATACTGAAGAGTCATCTTCTGTAATCAACCTTAGAAGAAAACCCACGTCGTGCGTGGTGCTGTCAACGGCCCGAGTTATAGTCCATGACGTCAATGGAGGCCAGCACAAATGCCGTGCACTTCTAGATGCAGGGTCGCAATCCAATTTGATCACCCAGGAACTCGTCGACAGGCTCAGATTGAAATGTAAAAGGAGAGACGAAGTCATCAGTGGGATCAACCGATCACAAACCAATGTCGGTAAGACAGTAGGAGTAAAAATCCGATCGATGAACGCGGATTATGAGGTAGCCATAGAATGTCTCGTGCTGCCTGCCATTACTGAAAGACTTTCTCAAGTCAAAATCAATACTAAACTGATTTGCTTGCCGGAGGGTTTGAGCCTAGCAGATCCTGATTTCCACACGCCAGGAACAGTGGATATTCTAATAGGAGCAGGACTTTTCTGGCAATTAATCTGCAAGAATTATATTCAAAGACCAAAGGGAATACCCAGATTACAACATACGTTGCTAGGATGGATTGTAGGAGGGGAGCTTCTCGACGCCAGCTCGGAAACTCCAAGAAGCTTCTGCGGTCTCATCACAAATGCGCAACTCCAAGCGCAGTTAGAACGCTTTTGGAAGCAAGAGGAGACGCTCGAAAAACGGAGTCTCACCCAAGAAGAGATTGAGTGTGAACGGCAGTTCCATGAGTCGGTCAAGCGAGATGAAACTGGTAGGTTCATCGTAACACTTCCGAAGAAACCCGGAGTGAAACTCGGCGATCCAGGGAATCAAGCATTGCAGCGATTATATTCCCTAGAAAGAAAATTCAGAGGAGATCCAGCATTGAAGAATGCGTATGTTCAATTCATGGAAGACTATGAAACTCAAGGCCACATGTCGTTAATGGGACAAGGCCCAGATACGAGCACAAAGGTAGAGCAATCGTACATACTTCCGCATCATCCGGTGATTAAACCGGACAGCACCACAACTAAGTTACGTGTTGTATTCAACGCCTCAGCGAAGACATCGTTGGGAACATCATTAAACGACAAGTTATTCGCTGGTCCAAACAAGCAGAAGAGCCTGTTCTGCATAGTCTTACGCTTTCGATCACACCCCTTTGTCATAACGGCGGACATAGCTGCAATGTTCCGACAGATACTCGTGTGCGAAGAAGACCGAGATTTACAACTGATTCTGTGGAGATCAGATCCATCGCAACCAGTTCAGATCTTTAGGATGAACACGGTGACATATGGCACCGCATGTGCACCTTATTTAGCCCTCAGCTGTTTGGAGAGATTAGCGATAGAAGAACTGGAAAGGTTTCTAAAGGCAACCTTGACGGTCGAAGAGATGAAGATGTTTCTCGAAATAAGGTTGAAGATCGAAGAGCTGAAGAAGTTCCTAAAAGAAGCATTGGACAATGAGAAATCGGAGTTTCTACAAGCAATCCTGGTCTTGCTAGAAGATTTCTACATGGACGATGTTTTGTCTGGCGCAAGTACCATAGAAGGGGCCATAGCCTTACGACAGCAGCTGTCGGAGTTATTGCAACGGGGACAGTTTCAGCTGCGGAAGTGGCGTTCCAATGATCCACGTATATTGGAGGAACTACCCGAGTCCAACGACGATAACAGCTTCCTCAAAATAGACAAGGAGGGTGCCATGAAAACGTTGGGACTTCTATGGGATGCCCAGTCAGATGTTCTGCAATACAGCGTGTCGATAGAAGAGAATTCAAGGGTTACCAAGCGTCTGGTGCTATCTCAGATAGCTCAAATATATGACCCCCTTGGCTTGCTGGGACCCGTTGTCATCATTGCGAAATGTATTATGCAGTCTCTATGGCAAATCAAAACTGGTTGGGATGAAGTTCTCCCAACGGAGTTAGAAGCTACATGGAAGGAGTACTATAGATCGCTGCCGCAAACCAACGAGTTGAAGATTCCGAGAAACATCAATCCGGGAAATGTGAGCAATCAGTTCGATCTCGTAGGCTTTGGAGATGCCTCAGAAAAGGCATATGGAGCCGTGCTGTATGCTGTTTCACAAAGGTCGGGAGGTACCTTACAAGCGCATTTGATTTGTTCGAAAAGCAGAGTCGCACTTTTGAAGACTATATCACTACCAAGACTGGAGCTTGATGCGGCGCTGCTGTTGACTAAACTGACCGAACAGGCAAGAAAGGCTTATGGTGACAGGATTCGAAACGTGTCTTTATTTAGCGATTCGACGGTCGTTCTCAATTGGATAGCAGAGTCACCTAACATTAGGAAGACGTATGTGGCAAATAGAATCACCAAGATTCAACTTCTTTCACAAGGTGTGACATGGCGTCATGTTCCGTCCAAGGATAATCCGGCAGATCTTCTTTCCAGAGGCATGTCAGTGGAAATGTGGAGGACCAGTCAGTTATGGTGGCAAGGGCCTGAGTGGCTCGTCACCGATCGATGGCCTGAACAACCAGAAATCTTAGGCGATACGTCCGAGATGAAGATCACTGCACTAATCGCCACCAGAAACGAGGAGTACGACATCCTACGAAGATTTTCAGACTATGGGAAGCTTCAACGCATAGTCGCTTATTGTCTGCGTTTTAAGGCAAATTTACTTGGCGCAAAGAAGAGTGGCCCTTTAACGCCAGCCGAAATAGAGCAAGCGGAAACTATCATATTGAAGACTGTCCAGCGAGAAGTTTTCCTGAAGGAGGTGCGGGCTCTCGAACAGCAGCAATCGATTCCCAAGGGTAGTAAGTTGTCGTCCCTCAATCCTATCTTGGATCAGAAGGGAGTCATAAGGGTAGGTGGTCGGTTATCACAGGCCGACATTCCCGAAACTCAGAAGCATCCAATATTGTTGCCAGCCAAGCACCACGTTACAACTATCCTCATGAGGAAGGAGCATCTCAGGCTTCACCATTGCGGCCCGGAGCAGTTGTTCTACTCAACACGTGTAAAGTATTGGCCTTTAAGTGGACGACGAGAAGCAAACAAGATTACGAAGAGTTGCATAAAATGCTTTCGAGCTAAACCAAGGACACCTGAGGTCTTCATGGGAGATCTTCCTGAGGATCGAGTCCGTCATAACCTGAGACCATTCACCACAGCGGGCGTAGACTACGCCGGGCCATTGCAGGTACGAGAGAGTCGCAGGCGGGGAAGGATTCACATCTCGAAGGCCTGGATCGCCGTGTTTACCTGTTTTGCCACTAAAGCCGTACACATAGAGCTAGTGACTGAATTAACTACCGAGTCATTTCTAGCTGCATTAAGAAGGTTTGTGGCGAGAAGAGGAATTTGCTCGAAGATCGTGTCCGACAACGGCACTAATTTTGTCGGAGCTGCGAGAGAGCTAGCAGAAGTATACGAGTTTCTTCGGAAGGAGAAAGAAGCCATAGCCACATACTTGGCTCGTCAGAAAATCGAATGGAGGTTTATTCCTCCTCGATCTCCACATTTTGGAGGTCTTTGGGAGGCCGCTGTCAAGGCTACCAAGCGTCACCTCCACACTGTCACGAAGGGTCTGGTTTGGACGTTTGAGGAATACGCAACGCTGCTCGTGGAGATAGAAGCAATCCTGAATTCAAGGCCTCTCACTCCCTTTTCCAGTGATCCTAACGATTTATTGGCATTAACCCCATCTCATTTCCTTACAGGGGATTCATTGTTGTTTCCACCAGAGTATAGTTATATGAAAGTCCCGGATAACAAGCTGTCACGATGGCAGCATGCTCAGAAATTACGCCAGCATTTCTGGAAGCGTTGGCAGGAGGATACCTCCAAGAGCTGCAAAAGCGTCATAAGTGGCGTAATAAGGGCAAGGATCTCGAGGTCGGTACTCTAGTCATTCTGAAGGAGGACAATACACCCCCTCTACAGTGGGTCCTAGGCCGAGTGGAGGAAGTTCATCCTGGCAAGGACAACGTGATTAGAGTGGCGACAGTCAAAACGCCCACTGAATTGTTTAAAAGAGCCGTCCAAAAACTCTGTCCACTTCCCGCAGAAGAAGACTGTTAATTTATATTTAATTTTCTTTGAAAATTGTTATTATCCATATAGCTTTCTTTAAGATTATCCTTATTGAATTTATAATTAACACTTAGAATAGAAGATTTCACTTATACTAATTGCAATGTACTTCGCGTCAAATTTGTCATGTTATTGGTATTATTCGGTTACATTTCAGTTAGCATCATTACTTACGTGTATGTTAAGTTAAGACGGTGAAGCTTTAGATTAGGCCCACTCCCCTCTCAAGTTTATAGAATGCCAAAGTCTCTTATTCTTTAGTTTCAAGTAGGTTGAAAGATTGTCTTTCAAGGGGGGCGGAGTGTTGACGATTGTACCGCCAGAACGGCGTTAGTGAGAAGTAGTATTAAGCAATATGGCGAAATAGGAAGGGTAACGGAATAAAGCTCTGTTTAATTTGACTGGATTTTCTGTGTATCCGTTCCTCAACAGTGCCAATTCATGGGACGCTGAAAAACAGCGTTGAGCGACGTCACGTGACATCACTATGATGCCAGCGTCAAGAAAGAGAAGTTGGATTTTTCCAACTTCAAGCGTCAAAGCCAAAGCAGCGCGAAAACGCCGAAATTTTGACGCTGTTTTCCTTTTCATGAATTTCAATTGACGCCGGCGTCAATTGTGGTCATGCGACCTTCTTGCCGCTGAAAATGAGCGTCGAGCGTCAGCATGAAAAGGCACCTTTATAGACATATCGGCGGAAGCTGTTCGACGAACACTGAGTCTCCGCACGGCGCGTTGTCAGGTTTTAAATTAGCGCCGATCGTCATTGATCGTCCGGAGAAATTGCAAGCACAACTGGCCACAGATGCTCTGATCGTAGCGCTGATAAGACCTGTGATTGTACTCAATCTTCGTCACGCTCGGTCCGAAATATCGCACCAGTTCTTTCGGTGGTCGAAGATTGCCGAAACTGTCGAAATATACGACTCGATCTTCCCTCTTGGCGTACGCTACCCAATGAGTACCGGGGCCGGCTGCATCGTCCAAATTCACGATACCGCTCTCGTTTCGACGTACGCCATCGACGATCGGTAACGAATCACGCATGAAAACACCTCTGAAGAACGGTACGCGCATTTGCCTTGCCAGTCGACTCAATTGTACGTTAGTCGTAACACCCGTGGGCATATTTAACGACTTCTTTGATGTTTTTTTTTTTTAATTTTCAACGCTATTCCTCGCCCGCGTTTGTGCGGGCCGAGATACAGTCCTTGTCCATATTTGTACGGAGCGAGATAAAGTCTGTGACCTTCCATGGCGCGATTGTGACGTTGCGTCTCTTCCAGTTGACGTCGTGCGGCTTTGCTAGCGTTCACCGCCGTTGTAATTCCGGCCGCTCCGCCGGCCAAAGAACCGAGAACTCCCAACAACGGTAGAATCGGCAATACGTACGCCGCTTCGTTTCGCTGTCGGAAGTATCCGTTTCTTCCTCGGCCTTTTCCTCGTTCGTGTTTTCCGTGTTTTCAAACCCATTCCGAGCTTTATCTTAGCCTTCATGGCCGCCCAGACGGCTGTAGCGGCAGCTCACTCTCCGAGAGTCGAATCTCTCGCGATGACGCGTCCCAGCGCTCTCTCGGCGAGTATCTTGTCCGCCGCGTGTCTCTCGGTGAGGCCTTTGTTACGCGAATAGTCTATGTCGTGCTCGCGACACGCCGCGTCCAATGGATTTACACCCGGATCACCTCTAGCCAATCGTTCTCGCAAACGAGTACCCGGACCGCAATACTGATAACCGGGAATGTGCAGTTCAAACGGAAGTGCACCTATCACGCGATTAAACAGGCCTCTACCTGTTTTTATTTTTTTTTTTTTCGTTGACATTCGCCGCAATCCTTTATCATTGGCGCGAGACCGTCGATGTGCGTTTCCTGCCACGGTTGATTGTAATGTGCGTCACAGCGACGATAGGTCTGAACCTCCAAATCCGCCTTTATATGCTCCGGAAGCTTGTCCCACACGTAGTAGACGTGATCGCCGCACACTTGCAACAGAACAATTGTTGGCAATTGTTGGTTGCCCGAATCGCGCGACTCGAGCTGCTCGACGAATTCCGCGCATTGCAGCGCCCATGTGAAAAATTCACCCAAGGTAGCTACTTGGTCGGACAGCTCCAATAGATCGCGTTCGGTTTGCTCGAATTGCTCCATGTTTTATCTATTCAGATTTAGGTTGTTCATCAGATTCAGGTTGTTCATCACCACAAAGTTGACAACTGTAGTCGCCCAATAGCGATACTTCATTAGATATCAATGGTTTATACGGTAATAGCGTTGTAGACACTATATACTTTGACACATTTCCCATTGCCACTTCCCAATAGTGACACTCCTTATACTCGGACCTAAAGTCAGGTTTATTGTAAAAGGAAAGGGCTTCGTCACAGATGAAGCTGTATGAGCTTTATCCTCGTTTCGCGCCTGTATGTACATTCTCCATTTTGAGCTACCGTACCAGTTATTATTATATCCGAGACCCTTGATAACAACTTGTCTATGAACATTGCGTTTATCGGTTCCTCGTATCCCGAGTTCGCGATCGCGAACAAACTGCGCTAGTGAGTTTTGTTGCACATCCGTCGATTTTCTCCTCGATCTTCTTCTTCTTCACGCAAAGCATTGGCGATATCATCTAATAAAAATTCACTATAAAAAAATTGATCGAAGTATATAAAGTCACTGCTTTCTTCGATTTCATCGATGTCAATTTCATAGTCCGATGTCCATGAGCGATTAAATACCATTTCTTCTTGCTCACTGTTATAAAAAATGTTCACGTCGCGAAAAGCTAATGTTTATTTCGTTGACATATGCCGCAATCCTTTATCATCGGAGCGGGACCGTCGATGTGCGTTTGCTGCCACGGTTGATTGTAATGTTCGTCACAGCGACGATAGGTCTGCACCTCCAAATCCGCCTTTATATGCTCCGGAAGCTTGCAGCACTTGCACCTGATAACGTGTTTAACCACACAATAAATCTCGATACTTTTTAACCGATGTATCGCTCTCAAATCGTATACTAATGCGGCTCGATGCGCTTCATCTCTCATTATATACCTTTTGCCCTCTCTCTCGCTTTAATTGAATTTTGAAAGATCATTTTTTCCTTTGTTTTACGTATTGCGTCGTAAAAAATAGCGTAAAATTGTTTAGTCTACGCGATAACACCCCCTTTTCCTAGAAAATTGTTGTTTATGACAAATGTGTCCCGACAGGTTCGATGTGTTATCGGGTCGATCATCGTCCCGATGACATCATTTTTTCCTTTGTTTTTCACGTACTGCGTAGATGGATTGTTTTTTATGTATAAATCATACTATATATATATTTTCTTTGCACGCATTTCTATTCGAGCCGTATATGCGACGTTCGCCGGAGCATCGGTTGCATGTATTGGCAATCATATATTGCATTATCGCATATCATAACATAGAAGCGAGGTGCCGATGTTCCGGTGGATGTTGGCTCTCACAGGTGTAATGCGAGACATATTTTATCTTACGACTATCAGTTTTATACACCGCCATTATATTTTTCTCTGGCGACTTCTGCAACCGTCATTGAATTCAGTCTCGTCGTGGCTGTGTAGCGCGAGTACAGACCGAGCGACTGGAGTCTGTTCCAAGTTC